GGTGCATGTCTTTAATCACAGCACTCTAGAGGCAGAGAATCAGGTGTATCTTTGAACTTGAGGCTAGTCTGGTCTATAGAACAAGTTCAGGACAGCCTAGGGCTACCTACACACACACACACACACACACACACACACACACACACACACACCCCACCACCACCACCACCACCACCACCACACCACACTGAAGAGATATGTCTATTGAGGAGTATTACTTTAAATAGGCAAAGATGTGCTGCACTTGTTTATCTTGCATTTGTTTAACTATAAAAATGTGTTGCTGTTTCACCTTGCCTGCCTAAGGCACCTGACTGGTCTAATAAAAGGCTGAACAGCCAATAGACAGAGGGATAGGTGGGGCTGGTGGGCAGAGAGAATAGGTAACAGGAGAAATTTTGGCTTGGGAATGAGGGAGAAAAAGAGGGAGACACCTGAGGCCAGCCAGCTACCAGCCAGCCAGACACAGAGGAAACAGGAAATTAAGATATACAGAATGAAAGGTTAAAAAGCAAGGCAAAACACAGATAAAGAGAAACAGGTTAAGTTATAAGAGCTAGCAACAAACAAGCCTTAGCTAAGGTAGAGCATTCATAACTGAGAATAAGTCTCTGTGTTATGATTTGAGGATGGGCGGTCTGAGAAAGCCTGCTATACATGTTACCAACTGGAGATTGATCTGTGTATTGGGGGTTGGAGAGCTTCACAGAGCATTCACGGTAATCAAAGAATTAATTTATGGGAATTGGTTCTCTCCTCCCCAAGTGGTTCTAGATATCAAACTCAGGTCATCAGACTTGGTGACAAGTGCATTTAGCCTCTGAACCATCTTATTGAAGCAGTCTTCTGAGCAAACTGAGTGCTGGGATGCCATCTAGTCTAACAAAACTTGACCTCTTGTTTTCTACTCCCATACTGAGAATTGGACCCAGGGCAAAAGGTAGTCAAGCATTCTATCCCTGAGCTACACCCTAGCTCTTGTTTCCAATCCATCTTCTTAATCACTAATCAATCCTTCACACAGTACATTCACTCTCCTCCCAGCTTAATTTACAGTGATTATTTCAGTGAGCGAAGCCTCCATCTACATAGGTCAAGTCACTTCATATTCAGTTTGTTTCCCAAATGAGGCATCAGCATCTCTCACTTGAACCACTTTTTTCTTGCCCTAACTGGTTCATTCAATGCCTCTTCTTCCCTCGTATTCTGTTTTCTTGACATAATTTTTATTGTATATGAGGGAAGGGAACATGCACTTGTACATGTATGCATGTAGAGGCCAGAAGACAATTTCAACTGTAACCCCAGGGATTCTGTTAACTTCCTTTGAGGCAGGGTCTCTTATTGGTCTAGAGCTGTATGCACAATTAGACTAGAGTGACAGGCCATCGAGTCCCAGGTATCCTGTCTCTCCCTTATCAGCATTGGGATAACAGACGTGTGCGACAAATACCTGGCATTTTATGTGTGTTCTTGAGATAGAACTCTGGTCCTTATGCTTTCAAGGCAAGTTCATTAACAACCAAACCATCTCTTAAACATGGTTAACCTGTGGTGGTACAGACCCATGATCCCAGTGCTTCAAGAAGCTGAGGCAAGAGAATTGTGGGTTGTAGAACAATCTGGGTTGTATAGCAACATCCTATAAAATACAATGCATACAATAAACTAAAAGCCTATATTCCTAGCACTCAGGGAGGTGGAGACAGGAGGATCAAGTTGAAGACTGTCCTCAGACACATAGCCAGTTCCAAGCCATCCTGGGCTCTGTCAGACCCAGTCTCCAGAACATAAACAGAAAACCTATTGTAAATGTCGGGATAAATATTTCAATCATGCAGTTTGAGGCTGAAGTATGACAGAAAGTGCTGGTAATTCCTATTCCTTCTAAATTTAGATCTTCCATCATAAATTAGGTGTAGTCAAATGAATTCTTCATGTTTTGATATGTATGTGAGACTTTGATGGAGAAAATAGTTTATTAAAAAAAAGACAAACATGCCAGCATCTGAGAAGCAGAGACAAGTGGATTTCTGAGTTAGAGGCCAGTCTACATAAAGAGTTCCAGGCTAAAATGCAAATCAAAACCACTTTGAGGTACCATCTTACACCTGTCAGAATAGCTAAACTCAAAAACACCAATGATAGCCTGTGCTGGAGAGGATGTGGAGTGAGGGGAACACACATCCATTGTTGGTGGGAATGCAAACTTGTGCAGCCTCTGTGGAAATCAGTGTGGCGGTTTCTCAGGAAACTGGGAGTCAACCTCCCTCAGGACCCAGCAATTCCACTCTTGGGAATATACCCAAGAGATGCCCTATCATACTACAAAAGTATTTGTTCAACTATGTTCATAGCTGCACTATTTGTAATAGCCAGAACATGGAAACAACCTAGGTGCCCCTCAATAGAAGAATGGTTAAAAAAGGTGTGGAACATCTACACATTAGAGTACTGCTCAGCGGTCAAAAACAATGACATCTTGAATTTTGCATGCAAATGGATGGAAATAGAAAACGCTTTACTGAGTGAGGTAACCCAGACCCAAAAAGAGGAATATGGTATGTACTCACTCATAAGTGGATTCTAGCCATAGTTAAAGGTCTTTGAGTCTATAATTCGTGATCCTAGAGAAGCTAAATAAGAAGGTGAACCTGAAGAAAATCATATAGTTATCCTCCTGGATATTAAAAGTAGACAAGAGGGGGCTGGAGAGATGGCTCAGAGGTTAAGAGCACTGACTGCTCTTCCAGAGGTCCTGAGTTCAATTCCCAGCAACCACATGGTGGCTCACAACCATCTGTAATGAGATCTGGCGCCCTCTTCTGGCAGGCAGACATGGAAGAAATGTTGTATACATAATAAATAAATAAATAAATCTTTAAAAAATTTAAAAAAAAATAAAAATAAAAGTAGACAAGATTGCCAGGCAAACTTGGGTGGAGGGGTGGAAGTAAGGGGAGATGGTTAGGGAGAGGGGAGAGGGGGAGGATTGGGGATGGCTTGGGGGAATGGGATGGGGGGAGGGAGGAAGGATGGTTATGGGAGCAGGGAAGTTTATATCTCAACTAAGGGAGCCATTTTAGGGTTTGCAAGAGACTTGATTCTAGAGGGGTTCCCAGGCCCAAGGAGAGGTCCCCAGATTGTTCCCTGGGCAGCAGAGGAGAGGGTGCCTGAACTAGCCTTGGCCCATAACCATACTGATGAGTATTTTGCATGTCACCACAGAACCTTCATATGGCGAAGGATGGAGATAGAGATAGAGACACACATTGGAGCACTGGACTTAACTCCCTAGGTCCAGATGAGAAGCAGAGGGAGGGAGAACGTGAGCAAGGAAGGCAGAACCAGAGGGAACCTTCATCCGACGATGGATGGAGATAGAGACAGAGACCCACATTGGAACACTGGACTGAGCCCCCAAGGTCCAAATGAAGAGCAGATGGAAGGAGAACATAAAGAAGGAAGTCAGGACCGCGAAGGGTGCGTTCACCCACTGATTCAAGGGGACTGATCGAATGAGAGCTCACCAAGGCCAGCTGGACTGGGACTGAACGAGCATGTGATCAAACCGGATTCTCTGAATGTGGCTGACATGGGGGCTGACTGAGAAGTCATTGACAATGGCACTGGGTCTTGTTTCATCTGCATGAACTGGCTTTTTGGGATCCTGGTCTGTTTGGATGCTCACCTTCCTGGACATGGAGGGAGGGGGGAGGAATTTGGATTTCCCACAGGGCAGGAAACCTTGACTGCTCTTGGGAATGGTGAGGGAGGAAGAGAGGGAGTGGGGGGAGCCGGAGGGTATTGGGAGGAGGGGAGGAAGTGGAAATTCTTTAAATAAATAAATAAGGGGAAAAAAAGAGTTCCAGGCTAGCCAGAGCTACCCAATGAGACACTGTCTCAAAAACTAAATAAAAGTAAATTTTAAAAAGTGAAATAAAAACCACATAAGCCTATTCCATCACATAAAAACATTCTCAAAACTTGGTAAGAGAAGAAAATCCACCTAAAAAATGGGCAAAAGATTTGAACAGGTGTCACCAAAAAAGTATGTGGAAGGCAGAGCAGAGTAGAACACACTCTGTCCTTAAATGTCATTAGAGACATCCGAGTTAAAGCCACAGTGCAGCACCAGCCACTACACATCGATTTCAATAGCAAAATCAATTGTTTTTACAGATCAAAGTGAAAGTCCAAGTGCTGCTGAAAGCCGGGGACACCCGTGTCTCTCATGAGCTGCTAGTGCCCATGGGGGATATGGCCTCACGTTGAAAACCAGCAGGCAGTTCCTTGTGGGTGACCCCAGGCTTCTCATGTCACCCAGAAACATCACTTAAAAATGTCTGCTTATCTGCTTGAGAAAAATAAAAACATGACTATGTCTGAGAATATTTGTCTTTCTTCCTCCCTCCTTTTTCTTTCCCTCCTACTCTGCTTCATTTTTTTTTTAAAGGCAGGGTCTCACACTGTATCCCCACACTGGCCTTGAGTTTACTCTGTGTCTCAGATGGATTCCAAGTCAAACCAATCAATCCTATTTTAGCCTTCTGAGTGCTGGAATGACAGACATGTATTGTGTTTTTTTGAGGGGCCCACCACCCAGCTCCCAAATCAATCATATGGGGACTTATTATTACTTATGAACACCTGGCTTTAGCTTAGCTTGTTTCTTGCCAGCTTTTCTTAACCCAGCTACCTTTGCCCCTGGACTTTTATCTCCTCTATCTCTGTATACCTCTCTTTGCTTCTTTCTCCGTGGCTGCCGTGTAGCGGGGTGATTGGTCCCTGATGTCCTCCTCTCCTTGTTCTCTTGCTGCTTGCCTTCCTCGCAGATTTCTCCTCCTATTTCTCCTCTCTCCCGCTGTCCTCACCTATCCTTGCTCCTGCCTCGCTATTGGCCGTTCATCTCCTTATGAGGGCCATCGGGTGTTTTAGACAGGCACCATAACACAGCTTCACAGAGTTAAACAAATGTAGCGTAAACAGAAGTCACATACCTGAAAATAATATTCCCCAACAGGCATGTGCTTCCACGCCTTTTGTAGAGCGCTTTCTTATCTCCCAAAGACAGCTGGTGAGTAGATAAGGAGAGGAGGGAGGGTTCACAGCTGCAATGGAATGCTGCGTGGTAGCAAGAAGGGGAGAACACAAACACACCCCGCAGTGGGGAACTTCCAGAGGCACTTGTCTGAGGAAGACTGCACAGGACAGTCCACTTGTAAGACTTTCTGGAAAAGGCAACAAAAACCACACAGTGCATCAGAAGGGATGAGCAATAAGGAATAGGAAGATATAAACTGCAGCTCTTGGTACATCCCAGCTGAGGTGGGGTTTTAGCTCTTACGCTTTAGCAGGACCTAGAACCAGACTTAAACAACACTGGATTTCTCTTTCATTTCATTGAGTTTTTACAGTTGTTGTAAGGGTGAAGGTATTCTGGAGATAGGTGGGAATGGTTGTTCACCAATACAGCTGTTCTGGATGCTACTGCACTGCACACTTAGAACTGGTCAAATGATGCATTTTAGGCTGTGTGGGTCCCAGTTCCTTAACTACTTGCCAGTCTGGCATTTACATATGTGGAGCAGCTGCTGGCAAAGCTGGTTTGTCTGACACACCATGTGCACCCTCCCCGCCTGACTCACTTCTTGTCAATCATCAGGAGGCCTAGGAGGGAATCCCTGCTTAATGCCCTTGACCTGACTCACCTCTTGCTGTTTCCGCTGTTGCTGTAAAATGAAGCACCTAGGCAGCTGGAGACGTTGTGTCTTCTTGTCAGAGGAACTGGCCTAAGTGACTGTGGACACAGTGCTGTGATTAAATGACACAGAGCACAAAAGGACCCTGGATCCAGCTGGCAGAGTTTTCATTAGCCAAATCTACAATACTTAGAACAAATAAACCATGAGAAGAGGAAAGTTATACCTCACAGAATTGAAAATAAGAAGCCATGGTTCAATCTGACAAAAAGCAATTACTGAAGACATGAATTAATAGGGAAGAGACCCCCCCCCTCCACACACACAGAAGTTTCACAAGCCATAAACACAGGAGCATGGGCTCCAGGCAGCACTGTTTGATGCTTGTTATAATAACTATCAATTCAGTCAGGAATCACTAATATTAACAAATCTCCTTCAGGGTACTTTATCAGAAGCCGGACAATCATGTAGTCTCAGTGACTCTACACAAGATGTGTGTTACATGGAGAGTGACAACTCCCAGGTGAGACATAGGCCAATGCCATCTCACCATGGAATCCAAGCCACCATCCCTATGACTGTGCCCCGCCTATTGGTGATCAATGAGGACGTGGCTCATCCTGTGGCATCACTACCAGCCAAAACCTGTATCAAGCCAGATACATGGAGAAACATCCTGTCAAGTCCTTTGCCAATATTCTCAGAAGGAGGCAAGGGCACAAACAACAGAGCAGGATGGGAGATGTCTCAGCTTAAATGAGATGTAGGAACTTGACTTTTATGTTTGGTTGTGAGCCTAGCCTTTAATGGCTGAGCCATCTCTCCAGTCCAGGAACCTAATTTTTAAATGCAGCTTCTGACCTTGGGCTAGAAAAGTGTGTGGAGTTTTCCACACTGGTGTGTTAGGCTCTAGTCCACCTTTTCCATTTTATGAGTATGTCACAGTCTACTTCCCCCCTCTTCCTTCTCTGTAGAAGGAGACTGCTTGTTTGTTCCCAGCCACCAGACCCGGATAATCACACAGAAACTATATTAACTGCAACACTGTTTTGGTCAATAACTTAGACATATTCCTGGCTAACTTTTGTATCTTAAATTAACCCATTTCTATTAATCTGTGTATCACCACGAGGTTGTGGCCTATTGGTAAAGTTCTGGTTGGTGGCTGCATGGCATCTCTCTGACTCCCCCTACTTTCTCTCTATATCTCTGTTCAGATTTTCCCACCTGCCTTACTCTACTAAGCTATTGGCTGAAACAGCTTCTTTAATAACCAATGGTAATAAACATATTCACAGCACACAAAAGGGAATCCCACATCACTTCTCCTCCCTTTCCTTTCTCCTGCCCCTACTGTGTTTGTTCCTTCTCTTCTTCCTCCCACTTCTTTCTTTCCACTTCCTCTTCTTCTTTCTCCTTCAAATTTGGTTTTATATGTGTTTTTATTTGGAAATTTTGTTGATTTTGCTCCTGTGACCAATGCTGCAAAAATAACTGGTTCATATCTTCTGTGCATGATTCTCTAGATGATCTGACTGTATCGAGAGCACTCATTTGATGTTGTCAAGTCACTTTCCACAGTGGCTTCTCTATAGTGTTTCCAGCACCATAAACACTTTCACTGGCCCTAGTTGAATGCCTCCACTTTGACTGGTTTGAAATGTGATTAATTTTACCTCTTATATAGTATGAAGTTTAGCAGCTTTTCATACTGCTGTTAGCAGTTTTTTCATCTGTCTGTCTTTCCTTTGCCTATATTCCTGTTGGTCTATTTGTGTGTTTTTAGTAAGAGACTTGTAATATGCAGGGCACAAATCATTAGTTGAGTGTGCTACAAATATATTTTCTTGGTATATAGCTTGTATTTTCCCATTTAAAAATATATGTATATGTGTGTGACCTTGTGTGCATGCGAGTACAAGTGTCCAAGGCCAAATGTGTCAGATCCCTGAACAGCTAATGTTACAGATTACTATGTTACTATCTAGTTGTGAGCCATCCTGTATGGATGCTGGGGACAAAACCTCTGTCCCTTTTGAGAACAGTACAAGTTCTTGGCTGTGAGCCATCTCTCCAGCCTCATGTTTTCACACTTTAAATGTGTACAGGTAAAGAGCAGCTTCTGTGTATGCATGTGTGGACATGTATGGGTGCATGTGGAAGCCAGAGAACAATCTCCAGTATGTTCGGTATCATTCCTTGGGAGTTATCCACATTGTTTTTTGAGACAGGTTGTCTCACTGAGACCAGGGACTCACTAAGTAGGCTAGGCCTGCTGGCCAGTGAGTCCCAATATCTGTCTTCTTTCTCTTCAGTGCTGGGGTTACAGGCACATGCCACCATCCTGGCCTTTCTGCACTGGTTCCTCACTTGCAAAGCAAGCACTTAGCTGAGTGAGCTATCTCCCTAGCTCTCTACTCACTTTTAATTTTATCCTCTTAGGGTTTGTTTTGAGAGATATGTATAACAGACTGGCCTCAATCTCACTATGTAGCCAAGGGTATCCTTGAACTTCTTTCTGCTCTTCTCATCTTCAAGAGTTAGTGTTACAGGTGTGAAATATGATGCCTATTTTATGGTGCACTGAGGGTGGAACCCAGGGATTCATTCATATCTGCTCAAGCATTCTATACTTGTACTATATCGCCAGGCCAGATTCAACTTCAAATGAACTCAACCAATCATTCCATCATTCTCTCTGTCTTTGCTCTGGCTTTTTTTTTAAAATTATTTTTCTGGTGGCTTGGCACACATCTTTAATTCCAGCATTGGGAGGCAGAAGCTGGCAGATCTCTGTGACTTTGAGGCCAGTCCAGCCTACGTAGTGAGTTCCAGAACAGTCAAGGCTATAGAGAGAGACCCCATCTCAAAAAAACCAAAATAAATAAAATTTTTAAAAAATTTTCCTTCCTTTCTTCCTCGAAATAGGGTCACATCTTGTATCATTGGTTGCATGGAATTTGCTATGTAGATCAAGCTGGCCCCAAGCTTTCAGCAATCCTTCTGTCTTAGCCTCCCAAGTGTTGCGATTACAGGCATGTGCCATTACGCCAAGTTTTTCATATCTTGGTTTTTATTCAATATATTTTACATGTATTTATTTTGCATGTGATGGGGTGCAGAGGCATGGGCAACTAGCAAGTGTGATTTTCTTCTTCCACCATATAGGTCCAGGATATAAAAGTTAGGTCACCAGTTTCAGTGGCAAGTGCCTTTACAAGCTGAGCCATTTCTTTAACCACCCCATATCAATTTCAAATTATTCTTCCCTATCCACTGAGTTGATATAATTCTACTAATAGGGAGCTGTTTATCCAAACATTGATATTTTCCCCCTACATTCCAAATCAGCATCATGTTACCTTTGATGATCCCAACAGTATCTGCTAATTGTCTAACATATTACCACTGGCTCTTCGAGCAGCAATACAATTTACAATTTTTTTCTAGCTCTGACAAGAGGAAGTGGTTCCCTCTCCCTTGCAGTTTCTATTTGTTAACAATGGTAAACTTCAGTCTGAAAATGTTTAATGGACAATTCCAGAAGTCAGCAATTCGTATGCTTAAACTTGTACACATTTCCTTTTTTAAACTAATACTTTTTTATTACTTTATAAATAATACCATTCAAAATTTCCACTTCCTTTCCTCTTCCCAGTTCTCTCTCACTCCCCCACTCGCCCTCCCCCTCCCCCTAAGAGAGGGCAGGTTACCCTGCCCTGTGGGAAGTCCAAGACCCTCCCTGCCTACATCCAGGCTTAGGAAGGTATGCATCCAAATAGACTAGGATCCCAAAAGGCCAGTACATGCAGTAGAGACAAATCCCAGTGCCATTATTATTGGTTTATCAGTCTGCCCCAATTGTCAGCAACATTCAGAGGGTCCAGTTTGATCCCATGCTCATTCAGTCCCAGTCCAGCTGGATTTGGTGAGCTCCCACTAGATTAGGCACACTGTCTCAGTGTGTGGACCAACCTCTTGTGGTCCTGACTTCCTTGCTCATATTCTTCCCCCTTCTGCTCTTCAACTGGACCTTGGGAGCTCAGTCCAGTGCTCCGATGTGGGTCTCTGTCTTTGTCTTCATCTGTCGCTGGATGAAGATTCTATGGTGATATTCAATATAGTCATGAGTCTGACTACAGGACAAGGCCAGTTCAGGCACCCTCTCCTCCACCGCTCAGGGTCCTAGCTGGGGACAACCCCGTGGACATCTGGGAACCCCTCTAGAGCCAAGCCTCTTGCCAACCCCAAAATGGCTCCCTTAATTAAGATATCTTCTTCCCTGCTCCCATATCCACCCTTCCTCTATCTCCACTATCCCATTGCTCCAAGCTCTCCCCAACCCTCCCCTTCTCCTTTCTCTCTCCCTATCTCCCCTTCCCCCCACCCCACCCCCACCCCCATGAACCCAACTTTTGCCTGGCGATCTTGTCTGCTTCCAATTTCCAGGAGGATCTATATATGTTTTTCTTTGGGTTCACCTTATTATTTAGCTTCTCTAGGAACACGAAGTATAGGCTCAATGTCCTTTGTTTATGGCTAGAATCCACTAATGAGTGAGCTTATACCATATTCATATTTTTGGGTCTGGGTTATCTCACTCAGGATAGTGTTTTCTACTTCCATCCATTTGCATGCAAAATTCAAGATGTCATTGTTTTTTACCGCTGAGTAGTACTCTAATGTGTAGATGTGCCACACTTTCTTTATCCATTCTTCCATTGAGGGGCATCTAGGTTGTTTCCAGGTTCTGGCTATTACAAATAATGCTGCTATGAACATAGTTGAACAAATGCTTTTGTAGTATGATTGAGCATCTCTTGGGTATATTCCCAAGAGTGGTATTGCTGGATCCTGAGGTAGGTTTGACTCCCAATTTTCTGAGAAACCACCATACTGATTTTCAAAGTAGTTGCACAAGTCTGCATTCCCAACAACAATGGATGAGTATTCCCCTTACTCCATATCCTCTCCAGCATAGGTTATCATTGGTGTTTTTGATTTTAGCCATTCTGACAGGTATAAGACGGTATGTCAAAGTTGTTTTGATTTGCATTTTCCTGATAGCTAAGGAAGTTGAAAATGTCCTTAAGTATCTTTTGGCTATTTGAAATTCTTCTGTTGAGAATTCTCTGTTCAATTCAGTACCCCATTTTTTAACTGGGTTGTTTAGAATTTTAATGTCTAGCTTCTTGAGTTATTTATATATTTTGGAGATCAGACCTTTGTCTGATGTGGGGTTGGTGAAGATCTTCTCCCATTCAGTAGGTTGCCTTTTTGTCTTAATGACCGTGTCCTTTGCTTAGATCTCAAATCACACATCAAACCCCACACACTAATAGTAGATTTCAACACTCCTGTCTCACCAATGGACAGGTCAACCAGACAGAAACTTAACAGAGAAATAAGAGAACTAACAAATGTAAAGAATCAAATGGACTTAACAAACATGTTATAGAACATTCCACCCAAACAGGAAAGAATATACCTTCTTCTCAGCATCTCATGGAACCTTCTTGAAAATTGATCACATATTCAGTAACAAAGCAAACATCCATAGATAAAAAAAAAGCTGGAGTAACCACCTGTGTCTTATCAGATCACCATAGAGTAAAGTTAGAATTTAGCAACAGTTCCATCCCCAGAAAGCCTACAAACTCATGGAAACGGAACAGTCAACTACTGAACCAGCCCTGGGTCAAGGAAGAAATAAAGAAAGAAATTAAAGTCTTCCTTGAATTCAACAAAAAAGAAGACACAACATACCCAAACCTATGGGACACTGAGAAAGCAGTCTTAAGAGGAAAGTTCATAGCACTAAGTGCTATATAAAGAAGACAGAGAGAGCTCACATTAGAGAGCTTAACAGCACACCTGAAAGCTCTAGGGAAAAAAAAAAGAAGCAGATTCACCCAGGAGGAGAGGAAGACTGGAAATAATCAAACTGAGGGCTGAAATCAACAAAATAGAAACACAGAAAACAATCTAAAGAATCAATGAAACAAAGAGATGGCTCTTTGAGAAAATCAACAAGATTGACAAACCCCTATCCAAACTAATCAAAAGGTGGAGAGAGAACACTCAAATTAACAAGATCAGAAATGAAAAGGGGGATATAACAACAGACACTGAAGAAATTCAGAGAATCATTAGGTCTTTCTACAAAAGCCTGTATGCCACAAAATTGCAAAATGTAAAAGAAATGGACATTTGTTTTAGATAAATACCAT